GCCGCCGCACTCTATGCCCCCCTCCCCTGCCGGCCGCCCCGCAGAGCCGGCGCCGCCGCTGCCGCCGGCGCCGGCTCCGCCGGGCGTCCCCTGGCGCGAGCCCCGCGCCGCGGCCCGCCGCGAGCCGCTGCCGGCTGAGGCACGCGGCGCGCGCTCTGGCGGCGCGCCCGAATGTGGGGCGGCGCCGCCGGACGGCTGGCGCGACGGCCGCGAAATTGAAGGGTCGCTGCCAACGGCACTCCTGAAGTCAGCAAGGGATCCGGACTCGTCCCAGGTGTGCGCAACCGACAGATGACTCAGCTCGGCATCGATCTCTGCCAGCCGGCTGCGCAGCCTGGTGAGGTCGCCTGCCGCGCCGCTGCCCTCGACAAAGCCGTCCGCTACAACAGCCGCGTCGCTGGCACCCTCCTCTGCAGCCCCGGCTTCTGAAACCGCGGCGCTCCCGCGGTCCTGAGGCTCTGCGCTGCCGCCGCCCGCGGCGCAACCGCCGCAGCCATCCCTCGACACGCCGCGCCCCGACGCCGAGCCACGTGCGGCCCCCACCCCCTCTGCTCGCTTCGACAGCCCAGGGGCCGGTGGCAGGCCCTCAGTCCTCGCGGCTGCAGGCGCTGCCGCCAGGTCAAAGGGGTTGGTGCTGTCGAGGGTGTCATCGTCTCGCGCCATGACATCGCGCAGAAGCTGCTCCTCGTCCGGGCCCAGGATGTAGTAGCTGCAAATCGCAGCGCCCGCGCCAGAGAATGGGTTTCGCAGCGGGTGGGATAAGCAATATGGTTTGTGATGTCTCATCAACACAAGGCAGCGGCAGCAGCAGCAGCAGCAGCAGCAGCAGCAGCAGCAGCAGCAGCAGCGGCAGCAGCGGCAGCAGCGGTAGCAGCGGGCGCAGCCCCGGCACCAAAGTTTGCAACATGTTTCTGCCCGAGTGCCTGGGCCTGGATCACACCTGTTTGGCCGCTCCCCAGGCGCGCCGCCCGCTTGCGAGCTGCCGTCCAGGCTGGTCAGCGCCCGCGACAGCCGCGCCGCGTGCAGGCGCTTCTTGCGCTGCGCGGCCAGCAGCGCGTCGAGCCGCGCGGCTCGCCCCTCGAGGCGACGCCGCGCTTCATCCGCCGCCGCGCCGGGGCTGGCCTCGTGCGCCGCGACAAGGGCCTGCCAGGGTGATGCGCGCCGTGCAGGCCGGGTTTTGGCGATTTCAGCACGACACGACCGGCCCCAGCAGTGTGGCGCAACCGCGCACCCACCGTCTGCCGGCATGCAGCGATGCGCACAGGCGGTTCCTAGGCAGCCGCGGGTGCTCGCGAGCGACATATGCACGTTCGCGTGCGCGCGCGCACCGCGAGCGTCGCATCCCTCAGCTTCTCATCCAGCCGCCTGATGCGCTCCAGGCCCTCCGACACCCGAGGGTCGGGGTGGTCCGGCGGGAGGAAGCTGAAGGGCAGCTGGTCGTAGCTGGGTGCGGTTGGGCGCGCGGTAGGTGGCGGGCGGCGCCGTCAGGGCAAGGCGGGCAGCGGGCAAGCGACGCGCATGAGACGAGGCAACGCGTTGCCGGTCATTTCGGTCCTGGCCTGTCGAAAGTAGATACACCTTGAACCGTATTTGCAACACACTGTTCTGACCCCAGCTTTCAGCGGACGCACATGCTGTCCCCCTGCCTCCGAGCGCCAGCCCACCAGCGCGCACCCGCGCGGGCCGCCCCAGCCATCCAGCGCGCGGTACTCCCCCCGCCGCTCCGCCATCATCTGCCGCGCCGCCTCCACCATCTGGCGCACCATCTCCCGCCGTGCGGCCGCTCCTCCAGCTCCTCCCGGGACCCCCTCCTCGTTCGAGCCGCGGCCGTCCTCACTTACCGCGCGCATCCGCAGGTCAGTCATCAGACCGCTCAGCTCTGCCTCCAGAGCCGCGCGGCCTTGCAGGCGCGCGGCTATCGCCGCCAGCGCCACCCGCGCCCGCGCTGCCTCGAGCTCATACTCGTCTGCATCCCCATCACTACCGTCGTCGCCGCCGCCGCCCAGCGGCTCGGCGGCAGGTTGCGCCGCCGCCTCCGCACTGTCGCCTCCTTCGGGCGCCTCATTGCTTGACGGGCATTGCGCCTGCTCAGATTCCTCCTCTTCCAGCCCGCTGCTCTCAGACCGAACCGCGCCTGCAATCCCCAACTCCTCTGCAGAGCTCAGCAGAGACCCCCCCGCCGGCGCCAACCCGCAGACGCTCCCCTTGCCGGCGAAGCTGCCGCCATCGCTACGACTCCTCGCCCGCAACTGAGCCGCGTCGGTGCCGTCGCCCGTGTCGTCGCCGCCCGCCGACGGCTCGCCGCCGACCCTGCACGCGCTCTCTGCCTCGCCAGCCGACGCGTCCATGTCAGCATCGCGCCCCAGCGCCGGCTCCTCGTCCTCAACTGGGCCGTAGATCGAGCTGATGAGCCGCAGCAGCGACGCGGTGCGCTCCAGGGCACCCCGCGGCACCATGGATGAAGCCTCTGGAGTCTGCGCGAACGGCGTGCGACGCACAAACCACACATTGCTCGTTTGATTTGCTTTTCGCTCTCCTTGTTGGCCGCCCTCCCGCGCACGACCAACAGGCTCAGGCAGTGCCCCCTCTGTGTGTTCGCCTGACACCACACCGACACCGCGCCCCGCAATTCAACCGCCTGCCACCATGCAGCGGCACCTGCAGGGCTGCCACGCACCAGCATAGGGTTTGTGCTCATGCCGCTGGCCGGGCACGCGTCGGTGGTACCCTCGCCGCCGCCCGTGACAGCATGCATCCCAGTAAGGGAGGAGCAGCCGGGCGTCAGCATCGGGTTGGCGCGGGAGGACAGGCCTGGCAGGCTGTCGCCCTGCGCGCAGGATGGTGCGGGATGTTTGGATGCCTCAGGGGGCACGCATGTAGAAACTGTCATCGTGCCGCCGCTGCCGCTGCCGCTGCCGCTGCCGCTGCCGCTGCCGCTGCCGCTGCCGCTGCCGCTGCCGCTGCCGCTGCCGCTGCCGCTGCCGCTGCCGCTGCTGCTGCTGCCGCAGTACATCAAGCTTTTGCCCACCAATCTAGGCACGCCCCCCAGGCAGCGTACCTGCACAGCGTCATCAAATGAGTCGCACGATCCAGATGGCAGGTCCGCAGACGCCCGGTGCCGCAGACCCGTCATGAAGGTGTCTCCCTCCCGCCCAACCCCTGGCACGATTAAGGGCGCAACCGGCGCCGAGGCACTGCCGTTGCATGGAAGGCCCGCCCGCATTCCGAAGCAAGCAGCGACAAGCATCAGACAGTGTTGGTGGGCCACGCACGCATGCCCAGGCGCACTTGATCCGATGTTTTTCCTGCGGGTCGTGCTGCTCGTTGCCTCAAACACGCACCTGATACAACTGAGGCGAGGCTCCGCTCGTTGTGCTCCTGCCCGCCAACACTGCAATACTCCTCGCCGGAGGCCTCCTCGTCCCCGCCGCTGCCGTCGTCGCAGCTGCGTTCGCTGCTGGACTCTGCACATGCTCCAAAGCCTTCATTCGCGCTGCTCAGCTGGTCGCCTTGTGGCGCCCCTTCCAAGAGCAAGCGATGTGCCATTGAGTTATGCACCTTGCTGTTGAGGTGGGGGGGGGGCGCAGGGCGCCAGCGGGGGCACAGGTGGTGAGTGCAACATGCATTTTGACATCCCCTCCTTCCTGCCCTTTTTATGTTAGGCTTTCTAGCGATGACTCCCTGTGATGTTGGCTGTATACGGCTTATGTGTGCACGTGGTTGGCCACGCGACGCTCACCCATGCCAGCGGGGCGGCGTGGAGCCTGCTGGGGTGCCAGATGAGCTCGGCCTGCGGCGTTCGCCCGGCGTGGGTTGCTCCGCGTCGGCGCCAGAAGAGCTGACCTTGGGCGAGGAGCTCCTGGGCGGGGAGGGCGCGGGGAACATCAGGTCTGCAGGGGCACGTGCCGTACGTGTGTGAGGAAAGTGTTTGCAACAAGCAGCAGTGCAGCCATCGCTGCGGCATCCTCACCCGAAGGCCGGCTGCAGCACCTCCAAGGACGAGCGGACGGGGATGATGTTCGCGGCAGCGCCGTTACCGCCGCTCCTGCCTGCACCTTGCACGCAACGGTTGCGCTGGTCAGCGCTGGGGGTGTCGCTTCACAAGTCTGGCAGCGGCAGCCAAGCTGTGCCAGGAGCCAAGGTCATCATCAAGGTCTTCCCATACCTGAGTACGACCTCCGCACGTGCTGCTCGCGGGCTTTCATGCGGCGGGATGCTGAGATCCAGCGAGAGCGCTACTGGCGCCCTGCAGTGCCTTGCCTCGTGTTTGACCGCAGCAATATCGCCTCTCACACACCCCGGTGCAGATGTATCGGGGATATGTACAAGCTCAAGTCTTACGTGCGTGACAGTCGCGCGAGCTGTAAGGCGCAGCGAAGGTGATAAGACACCTGTGGGTGAGCTCTCAGATCGCGCGCATGAGCATCGTGCGCGCAACAGCAAAAATCTAATCGATAAAAATGGTTTGGATTGCTCAACTACAGCGCGGTTCATCAACGATGCAACCTGCACTTGCACGACAGCCGCTGACGCTGCACCGTGCGGTGGCACCTGCCAACAACAGTAGGACATCCAGGCACCCCGACTTCGTGACTGAGAGTGCACCGCATTGTGCAGCTGTGATGAGTCAATCGATGGCATATCAAGCATCGCCATTACATGCCAGCACACCAGCAATCCCCTCGCTATGCTGACCTGGAAAAACGTCAGTGCAAAGGATCCAGGGATGCGTGCCTTCGCAACATAAGGATTGTATGTCGCCGCACGCCTGCCTAGCGCGTGCATGTGCACGCGCTGCAGACGCACAGACCAGCGCGTCCCCCGTCACACAGCTGTAGGCCGCCGTCTGACGAGCCCTGCCTGGCAACGGCGGGGCTGATGCCATGCAGACCCTCACGCAGGCAGGGAGGTGCCCGTGAGGATCGTGCGTGTCAGAATAGGTGTGTGTGACAAATGGTGCGTAGAGAAAGTGTGTGGGGTGCACAAATGCGTGCGACCACATGTTGTACATACACCCTGCTTTAAAATCACGTCTACTGCATAACATGAGGCAGCGGAATATTACGGCATCCCGACTGACTGTGACTGACTGTGACTGACCGTGACTGACCGTGACTGACCGTGACTGAGTGTGAACGCGCATGGGCGCGTCGACAAACACACACACACACACACACACACACACACACACACATGTGCGCGTGAGATCAAAGAACAGCACAAGTGGGGCGCGAAGACAAACGCGTGTGTCGCACTGCATGTGAAGGGGGCGATACGCCGTAAACAGGGCTGATAAATGTGGTGGTGGTACATCGTCGCATGGATGCATGGGGGTGCATGACAAGGCGCAGCTTGCCGCACGCGCCAAGGGTCGTGTGCGTGCGTGATCCGTCCAAAGAATTCCGTCGCAGGCACCACTCCAGCAGCCACGGCGTGAACCAGTTTGAATGACAAAGCATAGAAGTGTGTGTTGCTTGGGGGTCCCAAGCGCAGCAGAGTTTGTGTGGACACTGAACGCCGCAACAGCATGACGCTTTGTTTGGCAGCACCGCGCGCCGCTCTCAATCGCCGCACCTCTGCACCTCACCGTACCCGCGTGAACGCCCCACCCAGGCCGCCAATCTGCTGCTGCACCGCCGCCGCTGCGCCGCGCGTGGAGGGCAAGCGGCGGCGCTGCTGCGCCTCTGGCAATTTGTCGTCGCCGATCACGTCTCCAAACGCGGCCGCGGCCGCCTCCGCCGGCGTCAGAAGTTCTTTTTGGCGCTGCGGGCAGATGTGGGGACAGGTAATCAGCGGGACACAAGTCAGTTGAGGGCGCAGAGGGGCTGCCAAAGCCTCAAACCTTCCTGAGTTGGACAAGACAGAATGAGATAGCACCCTTCCTGCGCCCGCGGGCCTCTAGAGCCAGCTAGGATCACGGAAGGAAGCTTTTGAGCGTTAGAGGGGCGTCCTCTTCCCACAAAAGTGTTTGGCGTTGAGGTGGGACCTCCAGTCGAGGCGGGTGCAAGACAAAGCAGGGTGACAGCTCAGCGAGAAGCTGAGGGAAGGCAAGGAGGTGCTGCCGTGCTGCGATAACGAGCGCCCCGGGCTCCCAGCCGCTCACGAAAATGATGAACTTGAGGCGGCCGTCGCCGTCATTCCAGATGCGCTTGCGGCCGCGCACGTCCAAGCCCTAAGTAGAGGCAGAGGGACGCCGCATATTCTGGCTTCCGGAAAGCACTGCATAGCCAGCAGGAGCACACAGCTCCTCCTTACCCCCGCAGCCTCCCAGCCGCCCGCCCCCGCAGCCCGCAGGCAAGCTTGGGCTGCACAGGGCACCGTCCCCTGCCGACACTTTGTGATTTTGCATCGCACCTGGGGGTTGAATACCGACTCGATCGGCTCTGTGATGATGTCAGGAAGGCGGTACCATCCCATCAGCAGGTCACCCTGCGGTACAACAGGGGCGCCGCGGTGTGCGAGCTGTTGAGAACTTCTCGAGGGGAGGGGGGTGCGGCAGCCCGCTGGGAGGGACGCAGGAGTGAGCTGGAGCTGGGCAGCTGTTGGGCACGACTGGGCGGGGTGCGCAGCACAGAGGCAGGTGGCATGAACGCTGGCGACGCGTGGACTCGGATGTGTGGACGCACCTGCAGCTGCGCGCGTGTTATGAGCTCCCAATAAGACAGAGACTCTCCCTCGTCTGCATGGGATGATTGAGAGACAGGAGTTAGGCAAATCAGAAACCACAGCTTCAACAACACGCACAGTGACAACCACAGACTGTAATTGAGAGCATGGTCGCGCGGCGCGTCTGCATGTCTGCAACAGGGATACCCCAACCCTTGCCTGTACCTTCATGGTCGCTAAGGGCCAGATGACCACACTCCGATCGTGGTGATGTGCGCATTCACACCCACGCATACCCACACCTCCCCTCACACACACATGTACAATGCAAGCACACACGCACGAGCGCCCGCCCTCCCAGACTCCTCACCCGCGTACTCTTGCGCGTCCACAAATGTGAGGTCCGCCGCCTCCCCCAGCTGCGCGTACACCAGCAGGCCGATGGGGTTGTAGGCCACCACCGCCATCATCTTGGCCGCGAAAGAAGTGAAGTTCACGCTGATGCCCAGGGGCAGGCGGTGGCGGTCCTCGAAGCGCGTCAGCCCAGCGGACGCGACCTGAGCACACGCACATGCACGCAGAGAGAGGTTGTCGTCAGCAGAGTGCAGTGGTCATCAGCAGAGTGCAGCATGCGAGGTGGGCCGTTGCGTCGTTGCTTACCAGGCGCCTGATTGCGTCTCTGCGTGCATGCTCTGGAATGCAGAGCCCGTGGAGGCAGTTGCCATGGGACCAACCTTTTGGCAGATGATGTTGATGGGCGGGAGGCCGTCGTCCGCCAGGGTCTTGCGGATATTGAGCTGCGCGGAGAGATGTGGGAGGGGGGTGCGCAGACGCGGCGTCGCGCGCAGCAAGCTTCGCACACACCGTTCACACTTGGACGCGAACTTCAACGCGCACGCGCACGTCTTGACAAGCAAAGATGCTCTCACGCGCACACGCATGTGTGTGCACGCACGCGCACGCGTGTGCATCGCACACTCAAGGCACGCATGCGCACACGTAATTACGTGCCCAAGCACAAGCTCTGAACACACGCGCGCAACAAGGGACTCACCTGCACCGTCATCATGAGTGCGTCCAGCCTCAGCATGGAGGGCTCATCAGTGGACTCGATTCCATTTGACTCGTCATGATCTGGGTCAACCCAGTGCTGCAGGGAAGGTGTAAAGGGCAATCAAGTACGGCGACGGGGCCAACGCGGGTGAGTTGAGCGAGCTGGGCGCATGCTGCATTTGGTGTCGGCATGTGTGTTTGACGCGATCAGACGTCATGATGTAGATGGCCTGGGGGTAAGGTACCATTCAAGCCGGCCTTGCTCAGCCTTGCCGAGTGGCAGCGCAGCCGAAGCTGCCTTGAAACGTCCACAGCTGGCGGGCGGCGCGGCGCCGCCGCAGGGGAGGGGGAGGCCGCCGCACCTCGTCGCAGAGCACAATGGCGCATTTGAAGGAGGAGAGGTCCAGCCGGGCCACCTGGTTGCGCTGCAGCGGGTCCATCTTGACATGAGACACCTGGTGGGGGTTCGTGGATGGTGGTTGGTGGCGACAGGTCGGAGCAGGGGTCGGGGGTCGGTTTATGGGTGCGATGATGCAGGGATTTATGCAGGAGTGTGTGAGTGTGTGCATATGTGCGCTGGTCGATATCGAAAATTGGGCGGCGATGATGGATTGACGAGGGCGGGGACACAGGGCAGCAGGAAGGGAGGCAGAATCACAGGCAGGCAGGCGGGGCGTTGGTCACAGCGCAGCAGCGCCGCACACAAAACGACCTCCGGGGGCCATCATGTTGACCGGATCTTGACCAAGCAGCGGGCGCACCTTGACATTCTGCAGGTTCATGCCCAGCACTGCCTGCCCGAGCGTGGCGCTGCGGATGTGGTCGTTCACAAACACCACCTCGCTGCCCTGCGGCAGGCACGCCGTGCCAGAGTCCAGCTCCTGAGTAGCGGCGGCGCAGGGTGAGAGAAAGAGTGTGTGTGTGTGTGTGTGTGTGTGAGCGCGTGTGACAGATCGGGGGAGTGTGCGCGTGTGCGCCAGTATGTGTGTGCGAGGGTGCGTGCGCGTGTGCGTTGGAGAGGTGCTTCGTGTGAGCGTCTGCCAGGTTGACTTTCCTCGATTATCACACCCCCACACTCCTCCCGCAGGGGTGCGCAAACTGCACAAACACCGACATAACTCTGCTGCAAATGACGCAAAACAAGTCCTTCAGGTGCGGATCACTTTGGCAGCGTGATCATCACTGCTGACCGCACGCGCGTCGCTGCAACACCACCCTAACCCCGCGACTTTCCCCGCTGTCCGCCACCCAAAGCACCCCACACCTGCAGTATGTCGGCCATGTAGCCCAGGCCAGCCCAGCCGGCGACCAGCACCTTCTCTGGCTGGTCGTCGTGCTCCACATACTCCTGGAGGGGAGGGAGGGAGGGAGCAAAAAGCACATGGGCGTGCACGTGCTTGTGAGCGGGTGGGTAACGAGTGGTTGCAGTATTGTGTGTGTGTGTGTGTGTGTGTGTGTGTGTGTGTGAGTGCGTGTGAGTGTGCGCACGCACCCCAGCACATGCACGAGCGCTGCATAAGACAGTAGCCGGGAGCTATTCACATGGCCACCATCTCCGTCACAACAACCA